CTGATCTGTCTGTAGACGAAGAAAGAGAAAGGTTTGGGAAAAATGGACGCGAGCATGATGGCTGGACTCGATGGTCTTCCTGAAGAAGACAAAGCGAAAATGGCTTCCATGATCGATCAGCTTCAGCTTCGTGATAGGTTCGTCTTTTCGATCTCTTCCGTATCACATGTTTAGATATGTCTTTGACTCGACCCGATTTTCGATTAGCATCGACCTTGAATCGTTTGCGTTCTGTGAACTATTCTCTGTGAGTCAAATACTGTATATTGCTTGTACATATATACACAAGGAGCAATCTTTCTTCTTTAAAAATCAAACTCGAATTTTAAGTCTGGATCTGAAATTTAAATCAAGGTTTAGTGTTTATGAGTTCGGTAGATAGTACTCATTTTCTAGCTAATTATAGATCTTTGGATTGTTGGTGTTTCATATCATATAATGTATTGGATTGGTCAAAGTTTTAAATTGAGTAAAGTGAAGTTATGTAGCTCTGATTCTGTAGAACCAAGAGTCTTAAACTGTTCTTTCAGGTGAAATTGTTTGGTTCCGATTTGTGTGTTTGTTGTCTGCTCTATGAGAAACTCAGAAAGCTTCACATTATCTTTGATTTGCAACAAGCTTGAATCTGTTGTGGCTTGTTGTCTGACATTGAAGCTGAAAGGAAAATGATCTCCTTAAAACCAGTGCAGCCAGTTAATGCTGTGTCTGGACGTTAATGGAACTACAACTTATTATGTGTTGTCTAGAATAAATCCGCCTTGCTTCGTTTTTCTTCTTCTTAAGTTGTTCTGTATCGGAAATTTGCAATGCTTTCGAGTTCTCTGTTCTGTGTTCTAGACCTTAACTTTTGCTTCTTGTGTTTTTTATAAATTTCAGCTTGAGGATGTACAATTCGCTGGTGGAGAGGTGTTTTGTGGACTGTGTCGATACCTTCACGCGCAAAACTCTTCAGAAACAAGAGGAGACTTGTGTTATGAAGTGTGCTGAGAAGTTCCTCAAGCACACAATGCGTGTTGGTATGCGGTTTGCCGAGCTCAATCAGAACGCACCAACCCAAGACTGAAGTCATTGTTTGGTTTTGGTCCGGTTTATGAGTTTGAATCCAGAATACACCGGGTTTTAGCAGTTGAGGTGACTCTGATACTTTTCTTTGAATTGATACACTCGTGTGTGGTGAAATTATTTTGTCTACTAAATCCGATTTTGTATTTCAATGGGATCTATGGAAAAATCATATCATATCCAAAATACCGTTAAATAATTAAATTACAAAATTGAATCTCCTAAGTGACTTTTTCGAGAACTTTGGGTTTTATTCAACTTCAGTGCTCCTTGTTAAGTGTATCTGCAAGCATCGTAACCTGATTAAAAGTTGTAAAGTTCAGTCATCGAATAATAGCTACCTTCATATATGTAAAACATGTTTTGAGTGTTGTTACGTACTTGGATCAACGGTGGTGATGAGTCCTGTGTGGTTGAAGTCACAGTCAAAGTCAAACATACCAAAGGTCCGATAATACAAGTTCATGGAATACGATGCATGCGACCGCACCGTATCAGGGCTAAAACATGGCCCATCAGATTGTATGGGCCCACAGTCCACTAGAACACTACACACGTAATCTATATTCCTCTGCAACGCCTCATCACTGTACGCACCATTTCTCCAACGACGGATGTTTCGTCACCTGATCAGTTTTCATGATACCGACATCGTTAACCGGGGTAAAGTCCGGTTTAAACAAACCGAAGTTTTGTTCCGAAGCCGAAGGTTTGAGATTCTCGTTGAAAAGAGAGAATATGTAAGTCTCGAAAACCCGGTTTGGCATCAGTGGAGTTCCCTTACCGGAATTCACATGCTTTATAAGGTTCCCATTGTAAGCCGCCGCGTAATCTAAACCAACGCCGGTCTGGTTCGGTTCACCAGCCGAAGGCCAACCGGTCTCCGCCACGACGATGTCCACGTCACCGTACCCGAGTCGTTTCATCGCAGAGGAAACCGCATCAAGCTGAGCGTCGAACATGTTGGTGTAATTTAGCTTGGTAACCGGGTCGAAGAAAACGGCGTCGTTTGTGTTAAAGAGTGCGTAGTTTAGAGTTTCGGGTCGAAAACCGAAAAACGGGTACGGGTTAACCATGAAGGGAGACTTGGTGCGGTTGTGGAAGTCAAGGATTGGTGCAAAGATGGATTTGTCGTAGCCTTTACGGAACATTCCGGAGCTAGGTGGGTCGGAGGAGCCAGAGAGGACACCGAGTGAGTGAGGGGTCGAGACGGAGATTCCGGTGACGTTAGCGAGGTTTAATGCTAACGTAAGCGACTCCATGGCCGGAAGGAGATGAGCGATGAGTTTTTTGTCGGATGTGGCGATGACTTCGTTTCCCACAGCGATGTAACGGATTGAGGTTGCCGGGAGGAAAGGGAGGAGGTGGTCGGATAGCCATGAACGTGCTTTTGGAAGCTTGGAGAGGGAAGGGATGTCGGAGTTTGGGACGGTGACTGTGAGGGACATTCCGGTGATGTTGGAAAAAGCGGCGAGGATGTTGGGATTTGTGTCGAAGATTTTGACGTGGTTGATGTTTGTTTTTGTTTTGATGAAGTTGACGACTTGGTGAGGTGGTGGGAGGTTGTTGGCCACCGTGCCGTAGTTTACGCCAACGTGATATGCTGCGGAGAAGGGAACGATGAGAGTGAGAGCTAGGAAGAAAAACAGAGGAATGAGTTTAGCTCTCATCATTATCGATCGTTGATACTTGATAGAGACTTACAACTTTCATGTTCACAAAAAAAAAAATCAATGGTTATAGGAGTATTTTTAGGGGGCAGGTTATGGTCCGTTTGATTGTGGAGCATTACTATTTGAATCATCTAGACGTGAGCGAGTGGCTCTTTTTGCGGTTGATAGAGCAGAGCAAAGAGGTTACGAACTTCGAATGCAATCAAACATGGGCCATTTTTTCAGCAGAATTAAGCAGAGCAACATTTTTTTTGTAATGTTTCGGATATCAACAGTTTTCTGATTAAATATCATTTTAATACTTAATAAACTACCTATATATAATGATGGCAAACTGGTTTTTTGGATTTGATGACGTATGCATTTTTTTTTAGGAAAAAAATCTAGTCTAACGGTTATACTTATTGAAAATAATATATAAAAAGAGAAAAGTTATTGAAAAATAAATAAATATAATAAAGTAATAATGACGA